AGTGGCAGAGAGAAAGTGAAATTCTTGGTAGGATTTTTGAGAGGAAAGCAGGTGGATGGATTTATTTTAAGAATCAAAAGAGAGTGTGGAATCCAAGGGGATGCCAGGGTAGTAGACCTTAAAATGGGGGCAGATGGACAGAAGATATTGTGCATCATAAAGATAAAAGTAATATAAATTCAACTGAAGATATTAAACAGAATAAGGGTCATGTGTTGACCACGTTTCATCCGTGGGATTTGACTGGAACCTTTCACTTACCAGGTTAACCGTCTAATCTGAATAAAATGATTTAAAATAAAATTTCTGCTTCCTGCTTTCAGAGCACACACCCTTAAGTTTTAAGTGTTTCTGTAATTAGAGTCCTAAAATGTCTTAAATTATGATGTTTTTTTTTTTTTTTTTATCAAGTTGAGTTTTAACATGTTAATCACAGGTCTTAAATGTTATCTTGACAGGACTGTATAATTTTGTACTTTTTTGTTCTCGCTGGACTTTTCTGTCAGGCCAAAGTTTGAGTCACACTCAGACACCTTCACTGTGTGTGTGACTCCAAATGGTTGAAGCTACCGGTCACTCAACGCTAACACACCTTGCTAATTAGTTTAGTTTTTTATTGTCTGTCATGGATACGTTCAAATTTATCACCAATTGGCTGGGTGAAGTTTGTTTGTTTCTGTGGAGATATATGGCTTAAATTTTATTTATAGCAGTCTTTAGAAGTCTTAAATTGGAGTTGGTGAAACCTAATTTGGACAATTTCTCTTTTCGAACCATATGTGTTAAAAGATACAAAACAGACAGGTTCTACTGGTCCGATGAAACAAACCTGTTACACAGTTTGCAACAAGTTTGACATCTTGCTGTTGCATTTTAAAATAAAGTTGTATAATAAACTGGTGTTAGTATGTTTGGTCTCTGCAGCAACACCCTGACCACGTCTAATAGCAATCCCCCTGAGCAGAGCAACCTGTGCTTCAGATGTTCTTTCATTTCTCTCCAGTGATCCAGTTTTAACCGCAGCACTCACCTTATTTGCTTACCTAATTTGTTTAGTAAAACATAAACCTGTCCAACCTTATGAGCTGCAGCATGACCGACAAAGAAGTCTTTCATTTGAATTTATGACTCACCGAAGCTATAAAACCATTTTAACGTGTAACTTGGTTTCAGGGAGGTGGAGGTATTCACTGGGAACAGAAACACTTAAATATGTTGAATTTGTGATCTTGCGACAATTTCTCAGCAACTCACAGATCCGCAAGTTCAGTTAGACCAAGCAATATCTGGTGACGTCTCGCCTAAAGAGACGTTGCTGATAAATGTGCAATCTCGCGTCTTTGGCTTGGAGGGGTTTTGGAAAGTGGTAAAAAAAATTATTGGTGCCTCAAGATATGTACTTATCGTGTTGTAATTTCCTTGTTGTTCCTTCCTTTATCACTAGTTAATGTACTGCTTCAGATGATCTCACAAAACGGATGGTAGTAAAAATGACATGGCTTTTAAAGAGCCATGCTGTGTTTTTGTTCTTAGATCTTAATTTGCTCTCAAATCACTCTTTAAAACAAAACGCTTTTTTTATGTGTGTGTGCTGTAGATCGCAGCCGAGGTTCGGACCGCCAAACGGGAGCTGAAGAAAGCTCGCACCGTCCTGCAGATGGACGAGCTGAAGTGCCGAAAGAGAGTCCTCCGAAGACTCGGCTTTGCCAGCCCCTCTGATGTCATCGAGATGAAAGGCAGGGTCGCCTGTGAAATCAGCAGGTAGGTTTTCTAAACTAGTCGTAGCCGTTTGTAGCAGTTTCCTCTCTTGAACTGCTCACTTTAGAGCTTCTCTGTGTGCGAGCTGTGAATGTGTTTCGCTACTTTTTATAATCATTAGCTATTTAGCGTAATTTTAGTCAAGTGCTTCAAGCCATAAAGAGAATGTTGAACATGGCAGCTTACCTTCAGCTACGAGGAACCAAATAGCTGGTGCTGCAAGATTTATATGAAAACATCCAATGAGTGATTCATTTTTAATTTGTTTTTGTTGGAACCCCTCGTTGAAGCAGTTATATTTTAAAGGTTTATACACATTTGTAAGAGTGCGGTTTGACCAGAGCTCTCTGGTAAAAACCCTATGGGTTCTTATTTAGCTTATCCTACAGGGACTCTGGATCCTCATGTCTCAAATTTTAAGATCTGAGTTTCTGACTAAAGTTGCTGTGAGAACAGTTTTTCTTATTGTAACTCTGCCACATGTCCTCTCTGCCTCTGTTTAATAAAAACAATAAAAAGATGGCGTTGTACAAAGTGCTAACGGTGTGTGTTAACCTGTGCAGCGCCGATGAGCTCCTGCTGACAGAGATGGTGTTTAACGGCCTCTTCAACGACCTGACGGTGGAACAAGCCACCGCTCTCCTGTCCTGCTTCGTCTTCCAGGAGAACGTACGAACAGACACACAGAAACTCGCCCAATTTCTGTAACTCTGTACAAACACTGCTGACACAATCTGAACCCCATTCCAACCGAGTCCAGATCAGGTTGCATTCTTGGTCTGTCTTACTGCTCTGCAAACATAACAAACTAGAGGTTGATTTGTTTGTCCTGTCTAATGAAGCAGAGCTGGTCCAGCATCAGATTTTTCAGCAGAGCTTGTTTTTTTTTGTTTTTTTCTCCCTCTGGCTCTTACCCTGCAGATTTAATCCAACTTGTCAAAATAACCATCACTAAAGCTTGGATCCAATGTCAGGGAAATAGTTATTTAAATAATCCCAGTTTTCAGGCTTCACTTTTTTTTATCAGCAGTCTCCTCAGTCAGGCTCATATAAGGTCTAAACAGCAGCACATTTTGTTTGTTTTGCTCTCTGATCATTAATGAAGTCATTGCGGCCCGCAGGCTAACGAGATGCCAAAGCTAACCGAGCAGCTGGCCGCGCCGCTCAGACAAATGCAGGTGGGACTTTATGACGCACGAACAGCTGGAGGGAATTCTACCTGTAACAGAGATGTGAACACCGCTGTTGCTGCTTTCAGGAGTGTGCGAAGCGCATCGCCAAAGTGTCCGCAGACGCTAAGCTGGAGGTTGATGAGGAGACGTACCTAAACCAGTTCAAACCTCACTTGATGGATGTGGTGTTCGCCTGGGCCAACGGGGCCACGTTCGCTCAGATCTGTAAGATGACGGACGTCTTTGAAGGTTTGTTCCTGGCAGGTTTTTAACCGTACCCAACGTTTCTCCCACTGCGTTCTTATGTTTTCTTTCTCTTTTTTTTTTTTATGCTGCCTTTTTGGGGGGTAAAGGGAAAAAAAAAATAGATTTATTGTGCGGTTTAATTCCCAATCCAAAGTTTTCCTAGAAGTGATCTCATGAGTAAAATATGGGATGGTACCATAGTAAGAAATATGAATCTGGGTTGAGAAACCCGAGGGAGGATTCGATAAACTCTCATGTGTGTGTGTGTGCGTGTCTGTGTGTGTGTTCTGGCAACCCAAAGAGAAATGAGAATTTTCTGCGATTATTCAGTCAGCTCTGTTAATTTAACTTTAAAATGACCTCTTGAGTGTTTTTATTTCCATGTAAATGTCTCCAACTCTGAGCTTTTGTTTTTCCTGCAGGAAGCATCATTCGCTGCATGCGGCGCCTGGAGGAGGTGCTGCGACAGATGTGCTCTGCAGCCAAAGCCATCGGTAACACTGAACTGGAGAACAAGTTTTCAGAAGGTGAGAAATGCAGAGCTGTTCACTTAAATTGATTACCTTTTCAGTGGAAACAGATCAAATGGGTGTAAGAATTGAGCCGTTCAGGTTTAAAAACCTTGATTGATCTTAATTTATTTCTTTTTTTTTTTTTTGGGAGAGGTCTGAAAACATTACACTTTGTTAAAAAAACACAATCTTTTACTACTTGTACTTATGGTTGCAAATATTTTCATCTCTTGAGTAAAATTTAAAAGACTATGCATGTAGGCATTATAGGATTTGAGACGTAGAGCCTGCTAACATCTACTTGTATTTAAAACTGACGTTTAACTGGACCTGAATGCTTTTATTTAAAAAACACAAATCCCTACTAAAATATCTTAATGTAATGATGCAGTTATATATCTAACTTGCATGTTGACATGACTGAAAATTAGTTAACAATGTGCAACAGAACCTGTGAATAATTGTACAATTTTGTCGCTTTTCTTTGCAGGCATCACAAAGATTAAGAGAGACATAGTTTTCGCTGCCAGTCTCTATTTATAGACACAAGATGCAACTCACAACTTCAACCCCGAATCTGTCCTACCCAAAGTTATCCGAATAACTTTCATCAGGATTTGCTTCCACTCCATTTTGTTTTCTCCATAACATCTTGATTAAAGATTTATTTTGGATTGGAGGCATCCAATTGGTCAGAAAACATTGTACATTCAAGTTTTTATTGAATTCATACATCAAACACATGCATCATTTGAGTTAATGTTTGTGAGTTAGATGGCTTTATTTTTCCTTATTTTAGACATTTGTACATAATTGTAACATTGTTTTTTTTTTTTTTTCAATAAAAAGTCTGTATGGTGATTTGTTGACATACAGATTATACAAAAGCACATTGTTCTGTATTTGTTTTACATAAGATCCACAGGGAGCTGTAATAGCAGCCACAGCAGTCCAGTACAAGGCAACACAGGACTCAGCAGCCAGCTGTTGCATCACGCTAACCCAAAGCTACGAAACAAACACTTGGTTCATGATATCAGGTTAGAGAGCAGCGGTGTTCTCTGGCTTAGGGTCAGCTTCATCTTCTGTTAACCCTCTTCACTCATTCACTACTGGAGACATAAAACTGACCTTAAATCAGATCCGTGAGCATGCTGACTGCAGTTCAGGAAAAAGCACTAAGCAGGATTACATTCACAGGTTTCCGACGCGCCCTCCCTCCCAGCAGTGGTCAGATCCTTTTGGTGCATGCAGTTTTCCCTCCGCTTCAGTAGATCACGCTAATAGGTCCACCTCATTTTTTTTTTTTTTTCCCCATCTTCAGCTTGCGATCTACATCTGGACACTTTTCACAATCCGTCTTTCACACAAAGCACACTGGTAAACAAGCACGAAAAACCCTAAAGTGTGAAATTCAAAGAGGCCATGTGTGGTTCTGAGTTCAGATTACTTGAGGAATAATCAGGTAATTCAAACTAGACGTCCATGCAGTGTATTGAATGGGGGATTTGCTCGGGATTAAAGGCTTCGAAGCTGGAATTCTGGGCGTGCGTTGGAAGGAGAGGTCTCTTAGCTTAGCTCCACTTAGCTTAGTTGGGACTCTCAAAGTGGTTCCCGTTTGTGGGGGTCTCCTGCAGCGTTGTGTGAGGGATGTCCATCTCTTTACGGCACTCTGTTGTTTTGAAAAAGTCCGATATGAAGAAGACCTGCAGGAATCGGAAATAAAAAATAAAATTAAAAAAAGTTTATGCAATGCAGAACTTTTCATATCTACATTTTGTCACATGGACCACATGGAAAAATGCTTATTCCATGCAGACGTACAAAATGATGTGTGTGATTATGGACTGGAGATAAAAATAATGGTTTTCAAAATAATTGAAAATTATTTTTAAAAGGAGTTTGCACAGCAAGTCCTCCTTTGCGTATGTAGAAACTGAAATCTTTACCTCAACATTATTTTTTTGCTAATTTGTTCATGTCCAGTTAAGATTTCACACAGAGCATCTGAAGGTTTCAGGTCTTGCTACAGATTTTAAATTGGATTTACAACTGAACTTTGACTGGGCCATTTTAAACACCGATCTAAACTGCAGCGCCTGCTGCATGGTGGGGGTTGTTATCCAATCCAATGGTGAACCTCTGCCATAGTCTCAAGTCTTTTGAAGCCTCTAACAGGTTTTCATTGAGAAATCCAGAGTATTTTACTCCATCACTGCTCTAAAAATAACTCCTCCCCCTCTACTTTGCACATTTATGGCATTAAATCTCCAAATTAAAAGTTTAATATTAAAAAAAAAATCAAATATTGTGAATACAATTGGAAGACAACTTAAATGCAGCTGGAGATGAAATATTTAATGACTAGATGATTGCAGCACATACCACCAGCAGAGCCATGCCTGCGCCCTGCAGCAGCCCTGTCAGCACGTCGCTCCAGTGGTGTTTGTAATCGGAGACCCTTGACAGGCCGGTGTACACCGAGGCAGCGATCAGGAAGAACTGGAGGGTTGGTCTGAGCAGCCGCGCCCACTGGACCTGAAGCCGCGCCTGCAGGTAGAGCTGTGGAACGCAGATCGATGATTCATGTTCGTTACAACACAAACGAGCCAAACTTGACTTCTGTAGAGGAAACGAGTGGCTACAGACACGTCATTTTAAAATAAAAAAAATCAAGGTCACTGATGTAATCAGTAGTGACATGAAAAATGAATCTTACTAAATGTAATAATCTTCTAATCTCTGGATTAAACATGTCTAACAGACATGTTTAATCTCGCTTTCAAATGGTGTCAATTTTGTGTCAAGAACACAAAATTTAACCTTTGTCCCGGTCTGCGTTTTTCGTGTTCCTTCCTGCTACACTTTACTGACGTAAATGCTGACCAAAGGCTAGCGCTTTCCATAAGTGAGCTTCCACCCCACAGGAGAAAGGAGCTTACTGCGTTAAAGCTGAAGACTTTGTCCCCTGGTCTATTTCTATCTGAAAGTATTGAATGAATCAGCAGCGCATAAAGTTCATCGGGGCTTGGCAGTAAAACCAGCTCTGGACAATCGCAGCATGGTGCTACTGAGACTGTTCATAAGGTACAGGAATGAGATCTTTAAACATTGTGGCTTAAACGTAAATAAATATCAGCACCTGCCACTACAGCAAGACCATAAACAGAAACATCAGACTCAACTTGCCTGTAAATGTCACAGAAAATCTGACTCAATGCAGACACCAGATAATAGCTCCTGTTTGTCTTGTGTAGAAGCTGACTGGATCCCGACATTTTTATGAAATTCCTTTAAATAGCAAGGAACACCTAGCCTGCAGCTTAAAAACAAAGGAGGGTTCAAAGTTTAATGTTCATTCCAGTCTGTACTGAACTACTGAACTTTAAGCTAATAATTAAAGTCAGAAAAAAAATGTTTTATCTACGTAATTAACTTAGAGTCTAGATGGAGATTTTGTTTTTTCCTAACTGGGGTTGTGGGAAGTAGTAATAAACAGTCAGAGTCTTACCTACTCTCAAAAGCAGCGACTGTACGATTGAACTATTAAAGATAAGACGTTTTATTGAAGAATAAAACTATAAAGCTCCTAATAGCAGGGCCACAAAAGAACCTCTAAAGGACACAGTCCAGAGTGCATCCAAGAATGATAAAACCAATGAGCACTTTATTAAATAAATGAAAAATAATCAGTATTCTTCTCTAAAATGTAAATATATAAAAAAAAAACAAAAAAACTTTTTTTCCCAAAAGAACTATTGGTTCAAGTTGCATGTTTTCCAAATTCTAATACAGATAAACTTTTTCCACAGCAAATACAAGCAAGTAAAGTAAAGATAAGCATCATAATAGCATATAGGATTAATTGTTTTTGTTTTATTATTAATGTTTATACCTGTCCACCAACGAAAACTGTGAAAAACTGCAATAGATGCTTAGTGTCTCATAACTCTTAAGAAGTCTGTTTGGTACATTTCCTTCAGATTAAATCAAGAAATATGAGAACCAGATCAATAGCTAAACAACAAAGATCTTATCAGTTCCACTACAGCGGTGAAGCTTCACCACCCCTAACTCTCACTTTCAGTAACACTACGTTGTTCCCAGTCTTTACGCTGAACGCAGAGGGCTGATTGTGTTGGCCTTGCTTTGTTTGTTCTTTGCTATCTTTAAAATAAAACATACCGTAAATCAGCATGCTTAGAGATGTTATCTTGAAAATATTCCAGGATAAACCTTCCCACAAAATGCAAATATTTCCATTTCAACCTCCTTCCAGATTATCTGCAGTTCTTCAGTGAGCAGCTGGTTATTTTATCCAGTCTTCAGTGTTTACACTGAACTAAACATGTCATGTTCTGATTTTTTTTATCTGCAATTTATTTTTGATCCATATCAGTTAACAACTAAACATCAAACTTAGCTGTGTCTGACTGAGGTGATGCATGTAAACTGTATCTGGTATGTTTAAGTTAATACACGACACTGAAATCATAAATTAGACACGTTTATTAAAAACATTCCTGCTTAGCGTGCAGCTTGGTTGGAGGTACTTACAGCGAGGAACAGCATGCAGTACATGGAGAACGACGAGTGGCCAGAATAGAACGACAGTCTGCAACAGAAAGACAGACGCATGACTCAAAAATGGGACTGCGAGTGTGTGTGTGTGTGTGTGTGTGTGTGTGTGTGTCTGTGTGTGTAATCTGTTCAAGCAAACGAGAGGCTGTGCAAACATGCACTGCCTCAGCGGGCTTTTGTTCATACACGTTTCGGAGAAATGATAACTGAGGGGGGATGTTGAGGTTCTATGGAGCTGCTCTTCCGAACTGTCCCCTCTGCCTTTGCTACTTCCTGTTTGAAACACAGTTGTTGTCATTTCACAGCTGTGCGTGTGTGAGGCAGACTGAGCTCGACCTATTAAGAAACCCACGTTTAAAGAAAACTCGGAGACGATGTTCAGCTCATAACTCAAAATGAGTGAAAGTTCGGCTCCCGCATGGGGCAAACTGAGGCTATCCACGGGGAAAATCTTGAAACCATCTTATCTCGTTGATAAATGTAAAACTATTTTACTTCTGGAATATTTTTATTTCCATTTTCCTTACAAATATGAAACAAACAGGTTTTCTTAAAAGACTGCTCAGATTTTATATCATCGATGTCTCCGTGCACTCTTACCAAACACAAAGGGAGCTAAATGAAAATTCAAACCACACATTGCAGATTTCTAATTGTGGGAAACTGAACATTTTCAAAAATGTACCAGACACTATAACAGAGCAGTGCCATCACCTACAGCGACGTGTCCGTTTTACTGCTATAACTTGTACATTCTCAGAAAGCATGTGCCTAGTCATTGTGCTCCAAGAAGAGATGGGTTTCTTCCTGTGATATACCTTGCAAACAAATATCTGCCCTCCAAGAGGGCATCTGTTTCTCCTGTCGGATCAAGAGTCATGTTACAGTAAGATGAGGCTGAGCAGGACACCCTGACCAGCCCTCTTTCTTGTTCTGCTGCACTTTATCAGACCTATTAGTGTCTGGCAGGCCGTCCTAAACGCCCGGATGAAGCAGCTGGAAATCTGTGTCCCCAACATGAATCTTAAAAGCACCGGATATCTGCTCTTCAATCAGTGGATCCCTCTCTTGCACTGCCGTCACACTACATTTAAAAAAAGAACAAACAGACTGCCGATATGGAAAAACAGCAACAAATACGCACCGCGCCCTTGTAGATTTACCGTAGGTGACAAGGAAAAAAACCAGTGGGCACATGCAAAAGCAGCTAAAGGATAAAAAAGCAGAAGGTTTAAGAAACAAAGGGGAAACCTGGAAAGTACAAAGGCTGCTTGGCTGTAAAAGAGAGCAGCATTTTCCTCACATCCCAGAATAAACTCTCCAACCTCAGCAGTCCTCTGTGGTTTCATCTACAGTAGAATGAGGAGAGGAAATCCTCTCCTCCCAACGTTCTTCCTGCTGCTCTGAGCAGATAACAGACACGGGAAAGCTTAATAAAAATAAGCTTTCCTTTCCTGTGCCGTCAGTACAACCATCATCGTATTCCAACCGGTTTCCACTTTTTATATGTCATCTGCTTATAGCTTTTTAAAAACGGATCACATTTTCATTTTACATTTATTTGAATCTTTAATAACAATAATCCTGATAACTGACCGTTTTTTTTAATGACATTTAGACTGAAATATTCCAACCTTGCAGATCTGAGCTGAGTGAATTTAGCTCATTTTTTCTATAAGCTCAGCACATACTGCTCAGCCTGTTCTGGTTTATTATGCCTAGATGACAATGTGTCTGTGTAACCTTTACTTTCTGCGCTTCCAAAACAGATTAAAGCGTAAGGGGTCAGGGATTTTGATTTTACTCCTTCAGAGTTCAATTTCCAAATTACTTGGGCAAGAAAAAAAAAACAGGTTATCCTCTGAATGATTTTACACTTGAAGCTGCAAGTAAAGACTTGTAATCATCATCTGAACAAAGAAGGAACAAGAGGAGAAAAAGCTTTTATTTTCAGTAACTGCTGGTCGTATCTTTCCCCTCCATTGTGAATATTCTGACTCAGTTTAAGATATCATACAATGAGGAGAACTGTTTTTTTCAATACTCATTCAATTCTTTATACAACGGGGTAAATTTTGGTCAATGTTTTTCCTCTTTCTCAAATCTAAACTGGTTTGACATCAGGACTTTCTAAAACACACGTCCTCTTTCAGAAACAACCTGCTTTTTACTGTCACCGCACATCATCCAGCAAATAAAAAGTCAAAGATCTGAAGGTGTTTTGATCAGATGCATACCTGCCCTCGTTGACCATCTTCAGATTTCCGGTGCAGTTGAAGTTTTCGATGTATACGCCTGCTGAGCAGTTGATGAGTTTCCAGTCCGGTTTGCACACGTCAAGGAAGTGCGGCCTGAGCCGGCCGATCGAATACTTTGCGATGTCCGTCAGAGACTGGCTCATACCGGCACCGAAGATGAAGGTACCGACGGCTTTGTAAACACAGGCAACGTAGTTGCCGAACGTTGATTTGGACTCGATGCGCTTTAGATAAACTAAAAGGCACTCGCCAAAGACCATCTGCAAAGGAAGGAGAGGAATAAGTTAGAGCTTAGCTTAAAACAAATGCCAAAAAGTAAAAAGAAGTAAAATCACATTTTAAGAAAGAGCAAAGAAAAGAATGTTTCATCTTGTGAATATTTGTCATGAAGTTGTTAAAATTACTGACGTTTTTGATTTTTGATGTTACGTTACGTTGGTATTTTTTGATCAAGAACTAGAAAAGGAGATTTTTTCACACAAAAAACAAGCAAAGAATATTACAGCTGAGCATACAGACGAAGTTTCAAAGTCAGAATATCTTTTACTGTCTTCTTATTTTGAATAAATAAAAAAAAATAAGTTTTTTGTTTTGTATTTATTGTTAACTTTGGATAGAACCAGAGCCACTGCTTTTGCTTTTCCTTTTCCTGTTTGCTACACCAACTGGAGAAGACATAATGCAAAGACCCTATAGGTCAGTTTCTCCACATTGCAGATTTCAAAATAAATAAAATTTATCCCAGGAAGATGTCCACTTAACAAACATAATGTTTAGTTATCTTTTTCTCAAAGTCAACTGACTTGATAACAGTGCGATATATGTGATAATTGGCACCCCTGCTGGAGACGAGTAAGTAAAACCAGCCATATTTAACACAGACATACACAAAAACTGTGTGTTTGTGTATGAATCACACTTTGGAGATTTATTTTTTCTTAGTGCAATTGAATAACATGTTTCCCTCTCTTTCACATTTACAAAAATGGCCTTGTGTATAACATCTATACAACAGGATACGATGAAATTATAAATGGATAATTAAACATTCCTTGATGCTCTGTTTAACTTTAAAAACGTGAGTTATAGCTTAATAAAATAGCTCTCATTTATTTTATAGCATCTGTGGTGCTGGTTATTTTCTTTAAAATGAAAAATGATTCCCCAACGTGGGATGTTTTTCTCTAGGGTGCATTTTCTTTTATATATTTTGTGTGCGTCTGTGTGTGTGAGAGAGCATGCTGCTGGAATAAAAAAGATTTGGTATTTTAAGGGGTGCCAATAACCGTGGGGGAGGATGTGGCTTGCATGTCTCTGTGGTTGAACTTGAAAGAGACAGCAGTGACTGTGCTTTACGAAAACCTGACAGATCAGAGGCCAACAACAAAGCTTAAAATAACATCCGACCTGGTTAGCCATTCCACTTAACACTGACCCTGGACAGCACAAACTGCAGCTGAATTCATGTGTTGCTATTATTTTGGATATTATTTTGACTTTCTTTCGAAATTAGCTCTCAGATTTAAAGTGATCTTCCCAATCTGCCGTTTTTATTTGCGATGCATCCATCTTAAAATACACCCTACGCATACCTCTATCTGTTTCATCTACAAGCATTAGAAAGATCACTTTCGTTGAAACAAGCTTGATTAACAGCGTTTTCTGTTGGCGAATCAGGACGCACATGCAAATGTGGAGAAATTATTTTAGCAGAAACACAAAGAAACTCAACCAATGTGTAAAAGAGGAAGAGATTAACACAGAACCAAAGGGCAGGAAGAGCTGTTAAAAGAGGCACAGAGGGGAACTGTTAGCAGGTTAAAAAAAAAACACTTACAATGAGTATTGTGCAGGGAATCATAACAGCTCCTAACAACTGATAGGAAATGGTGTCCTCTTTATAGGGGTACTTGATTGTATCGTCATTACAGAAAAAGCCTCGGCGGAAAGGCCTGTGCAGCAAATTGAGTATTGCAAACGGGAGTCCCGCTGGCAGAGAAGCAATGAGAGAAAGAGAAAATACGAGTTATAAGAGGGCGTCCGAACAAATTCCCATCATGCAACAGCGCACTCCCTTGTAAAGCCGAAGACTGCGGTCCGATGAGAGGGTCCCAAAGAATGAAGCAGCTCCCTGCAGGGAAGTGTCTTGCCCATTGGTTAAAAGACAGTCACATGTTAGTAAAGAGTGAAGGTCAGTCCAAAACACAAGCGACAGAGAGCATAAAAATGGCATTTCTCGTGAGGTTACAAATCATCGCGACCAAGAGCATCTTTGCTGCGTTCTCCTCTGAGAAGCAGGGCTTGTGTTTCCGAACAGGCGTCAGACCAAACAGTCATGACGGCCTGGAATCTTCTGGGTCTCTTTCCTCTCTCTGTATGGAAGTTTCCTCTCCCTGAGAACCGATCATGGAGATCCAAGTTTCTTAACCAGCAAGTAACCAGCAAACATCCTGGGCTATTCCCACTTATCCCAGTGTAATAACCAGAGCCAAATCAGAGAACAAAAGTAGAAATTTAGTTTAAAAAAAAACTACCCTAAACCTCTGAGGATGATTGGAGGGCGTAAAACCTTTCCTGCTGATCAAATATTCAACACATTACAACACATGACACTTTTCTTCCTTTTTCTCTTTCAATCATGATACACTGTGGGCATAAAGTCAATTAAAGTCTTTCCAAAAGGATGAAAAATACTATTACCATAAAGAATTTGCATGCTTGGTACTTAAAATACAATACCTTAGCAAATCTTATAACCAGGCACTTCTTTGCATTTGCGATATTGCAGAAGATTGAGATTTAATATATGGTGCATTTTTACTTACACAGCACAGGTTGAGCCAAATTCTGTTGCAGAGTAAAAAGGTTTCAGCATACAGTCAAAACACACCTTGAGTTCCCGAAGAAGCAAAGACAGTAACAACACACAAATGAGATTTTAGTACATATATTAACAAGCACGCATCCAGCTCCCATTACAGACTCCAGAACCAAGTGGTCCAGAGATGCATTCCAGCTGCCTGCATGTCTGTCAGACTGAATAACAGCAGCTGTGGGAAGATCAAATAACAGCGCATGTGTAAAGCCTGGAATCTGCTCCATGCTCAGACTCAGAGATTGTTTGCTTCCCTTCAACAAATAATTGAACTTCTTAAGTGATTACTTATATTAGCTTCATTTTATTTCCTTATTTGATGTTTTTAAGTGGACATCCTCCTTCACATCAGTATCTGCTTAAGTGCTCGCTAATGTGCAGCCTTATCAGCTCTGACAAACCTCTCCCAACGTGGATATTTTTGACTTGCTAAACCAGGACGGAGCGTAGCCGTTAACGGACGAAATGAGAGCTTCTCGCTGTGGGCGTGGATGAAAGAAAGCCGTCGCATTTGTTTCGCCCGAGGCACCGGCCTGGGCACTCCTTGGACACGTGTGTTATGCTTGTGTTACGGCAAGTCAACATGCAAGCCCCGAGACAGGCTGCCGTGAGCAACTCTACTACTTACAGAGCTAATGGGCAGGCAGAGCCCCACAGAGTAGAGCACCGTGGAGGTGACTGTGCTGGGGTGGAAAGGGTACTTGATGCTGTCATCGCTACAGAAAAAGCCCCTTTGGTAGGGGCGGACCTTACCCAGGTTAAAGATTGCCAGAGGTAGAGCCCCTGTGGAAGAAGAGATCGGGACTGGTTAACACAGGAACAAGTCAGAGGTTTACAAAATAAAATCTGAAAGGAAAACAAATATCGTTAGAGTGTAGAGATTATTTCAAAATAAAAGCCAGTAAGGGTGT